ACATTTGAGGGTATAACGTAAATATTTGTACATATCTCAAAAATGTTTGTAATTTAAATTTATATTCTATCGCCTGTATATTACATCTAAACTAATTCTTGTGCACTTTTCGTATAGCATTGAGGATGATTTTTTTTTCTGTTTTTCCTGTCTTCTTAATCGTTCACTATATGCTTCCATTTGCCTTACGTAATTATGGCATGCCACCTAATTTATTTTTCTTGTGTTAATGCTAACCTAGGGTCCCGCTGCAGGCGCTCGACTTTACAACCATTGTCTGCATAGTACTAACCATGAACGTACGTATCTTGAATGAATAATTAAAGAAACTGAAACCTGGAAGGGGCATTTTCACTGCAGTGGGCGTAGCCAGGCTGATAATGATGCAGGTCTGACCTGGTAACAGGGGCTTTGAGACAATCACGAGATGCATACAAGCACAGGTAATTTTAATGGAACTCTTGTACAACGAAAGTATGGTTATAACGAAGTATTATTTACGTCCCGTACGTATTACAAGCGTGACGCTGTGCGTCTTTCGCAAAAAAAAAACAAAAAAAAAACTTTCAGGGTCTCTAACGCATTGGCCAAAGACGGCTCGAGGGCAAAAACCACCTGCTTCTTGTTTTTTCTTCTCAGTCAATGCATTGAACCTTCCTCCGATTCCCTTCTAAAGCTTTCTGCAGCACGCCACCTAATTTTGCATTGCCTTCGGGATAGGACCATCTTTGACCATGTGACTTCGCGTTGTGAGGCGTCCTGGTGACGTCCCACAACGTCACCAGGACGACCTGATCACGTTATCACGTGATGACTTCTTACATCATTCGTGTTGACGCAGATGGGCAGTTTTCGAGTTCAATGAGGCATCGAAGGAACGTTGTCACTCAGGTGTCTCAGTGCTTAGCGAAAGTTGTTCTAAATATAAAGATGCTTACGCGCCTCAACGCGCGGTGATACACATGCGCACATCATATTTAGTGGTCGCGCGTGCGTACGCGCACAGCGAGCAGGAAAGCAAGAGCTTCGCAGTGGCGAAGCAACAACGCTAGCGTTCCCTGACATCTGTGACCGCGAAAACCTTCTTTTGCCCCGCGCGGGCCTTTGCCTGCGGCTGCGTGGCTTTTCCTCCCTCGTGCTCCTTTCCCCTCCATCGCTTTCCTCCGGCGTGGTTCGTCCCGGCGGCCCGCTTTGCGTCGGCGTCTGTACGGCCGCCATCATTATTGTTGCTGCCCTCTTCTCCCCCGTGGACGTCGTCTTCTTGTGTTGTGCGCGGCAAGAAAAAGGAAGGAAGGAAGCATTTTCTTTGTTTGTTATTTTCATTGCCCCCAACGCGCGCGCGGCGTAGTATAAAAGGCAGCTCAGAAAAGAAGAGCCTCTTTTCCGCCATTGTCCTCCTGGGTTTTCGCTTTTACGACTCTGAGGGGAGAGAGCGGCAGAGGAGGTGGGCTTCGCCCACGCTCACTGGAAATGCTTTGGCGGCGGCCGGAGGGATATCGTGAGGGCAAGCCCGCCTGTTTCGTTTCTCAGCCAAGCCGAAGCCAAGGCCCCCGCAGGCGTTACGCTGTTGTGCCGGACTATGGCAGACCCGCGTTTAGCCGCCGTTTAAGCCGCCGGTGTACTACGTCGCTCCATCATCCGCAGCTCGAGGGCGCGGCGTGTCGATCGAGTAGCAGGCTGCTACGGTGGCGGCGAACGCAACGAAAGCGGCAGAATCAACTCGGCGTAAGCGGCGTTTCTTTCGGCGGCCTACAGATGGCAGCAGCCGTACCGTTAGGCGCTGCGAAAAACAAACGGCACCTCGCGTGCGGCTGGTCTCGGTGTGCGTAGGGGCCGCCATAGCCGCTATACGCCCATTAAAGTTGTAGTTCCAAACCACCGTGTTCTAAACGCTCTGTTCTTTGCTTCTCCATATGGAGTGTTAGACTCGAAAAGTACGTGTACGCGTGTCTGAAATGAACAGAACCGAAAACGGATCGAACGTCTCACCTACGAAGTTATCGAAAGAACTGAGTGCACAAACTTCCGAATTGGTATCGCAGCAATAATTACTGATTGCTCTTGTCTACTTATGTCTCGCAAGCCCCGCCGCGGTGGTCTAGTGGCTAAGGTACTCGGCTGCTGACCCGCAGGTTGCGAGATCGAATCCCGGCTGTGGCGGCTTCATTTACGATGGAGGCGGAAATGCTGTAGGCCCGTGTGCTTAGATTTGGGTGCACGTCAAAAAAGCCCAGGTGGTCAAAATTTCCAGAGCCCTCCATTACGGTGTCTCTCATAATCATATGGTAGTTTTGGGACGTTAAACTCCACATATCAATCGATCATCATTATCTCTCGCAATGCACGAAGTTAGTCCCGTTTTAATACCCTGCCCCGGGGAACGGTGGACAAGCCGTGTGACGTGACATCAATAGTGAACTGGCCCATGTAACGAAAAATATTTGGCGTCTGGCTGACCTCGTTATAACTTAAGTAGCGGGGGGGGGGGGGGGGGGGGGGGGGTAGATATCACCCACCTGACATGAGTTTATTGGAAAGAACGCTACCAATCGTCACGTGAATATCGTGTGTTAGATTTACGTTGGTGGCATGTTCACTACTCTTTGGCGCTTTCACTTATTTCCAGTCTGTTAATGAACACACACACACACACACACACACACACACACACACATAAACATATATATATATATATATATATATATATATATATATATATATTGAATGAACTTGCAGATAGCATATAACAAAAGGATCGTATTTACTAACGTTTCGGCCGTGGCACGGCCTTCGTCAGAGTAAGTATAGGTATGATACAATGCAGCCGCTTTTATAGGCTCACGTGATGAACTCTTGAACTCTTGGTATAGCAGCTAGGACAATCAAAGTAAAAAAAATGGTAATCTGTCAGAACCTTGTGTTGACATGACTGACATGTGACGGGTGCGTGAATATACCAGTTTCAAATTTCCTTGCGCATCGACACGTGGGGCACAGTATGGTTGGCAGCACATGTAAAAGAGCTCTGAAGTAACGAAACCACGGTTGACTAATATACATTTTAATATACACTAAAATATTTTACTAATCTAAGAAGTCGTGTTGTTATAGTGCGAGGCAGGTGAGCTTTCCTACGTTTTCATTGATACCTGAACGAATGGTGCTAAATTTGTGGATCAAGAAGGATTCCCTCACTTCCCGATCGTGGTTTGTCTTGAAACCGGACTGAATAATAGTGGCCCTAATTTTGTCGAAACCATGGCCAGGCATACTGACGTGCTTCGACAGCGGTAAATTAGGGAGGCTTACGGCATGTGCATATATATATATATATATATATATATATATATATATATATATATATATATATATATATATATATATATATATATATATATATATATATATATATATATATAAAGGGAAAGAAGTGTATACTTAAGGGCTCGTTTTTCCTTGTTTTGACACAATAGTAATAAAATATATACACACTCTATGGTTTTCCGAGGCTGCAGTGTCTGCCACACCATGCTTACCGGAAACACTGGTCACCGTTTAGCATGATTTCTATCGCATGAGCGTTTAAATTTTTTTCTCTGCTGAAATGTTTTATACTAGTGTCGTTTACTTCTGTTTTATTACTAGAGAGTTACGGCAGACCAGGAATCCGGTCACGGTACGGCGCGCAGTACGGGTTTGGCGCATGCGCAGGTGAGTCGAAACCCGTTGTGCGCATACTCAGTAACGCGGCCTCCGTGCTACGTATACCATACCGGGCCTGGATTACCGGTCTGCTATAATTCTCCCACGTTAGAAGTGTTGGTGTTCCCGCTTGAGTGTGCGTTTCGTTAACGTATCGTGTTTTTTTTTTTTTACAATGACCTCTGATTCGTACACTCAAACGGAACTGCTGATGGCAGCATCTCGTGAGGCTATACGTTGAGCAACAAACAAAATTGTATTGTAACCAAGGCGTAGAAATCTTCTAATTGCATAAAGTCGCTTCAATGAAGCTGACACCACGTTCATAAGGGGGCTTTGCTTCGCTCAGAAAAGCCTAACAACTTAGATTACTGCCGGCGTGAAATACAACAGTCGCCACATTCACTACCGGACTACTTTCTCACTGTTGAGAGTAAACACATCCGCAAGAATGGATAGGCGCCTACCTGATACTTCGCGCAGCTAAAGAAGGGAACCGAGAACAGAAATGCCCTTTAACACGAGGATGACGGTATGAGAAGATAATAAAAAGAGGGAGGGGGCAGGAAGATAGATCTGAGACAAATGTGAAGCTGCTGATGACTAGCGTAGCCATTTTTTGCGGGGGTGGGGTGGAAAGATGTGTATGAACACATCACAAATTGAAAAATTTCGGTGGGTGCTCGAATTTCCCTGCATTCCCTACCCTTCCTGGTTAGACCAGTAGTGCTAGCTCTCGCCGATTAGTCATGTCATAAATTGAAGGGTCTTCTTGAAGGGAAACTAACAGCCTGACGTGGCTGAGTAAGAGAGGCACATGTACTTATCCTATGCATATATGAGCCCAGTGTGCTTCGTGAGAGGAAACAAAACACACATTTCACTCAAATTGCAAGTCCTATTTTGAACCGTACACTTCAGAAAAACAGATTTCATGGTTTTTAGAATACTAATTATCGCAATAAAAGTGATGGTAACTTCAGGAAGGCACATACATTGAAGCATGCTGTTCAGGCGAGACCTATGTCTGCTTGGTACATATAGGCAAATGTTCAGCTGTTTTCACGATATGTTCAAATAGGGTGCTTCACAATAGTTCCTATGTTGCGAGGCTTTTATGAGTGATGTTTCCAATCTTAAGGAGTCTACTTAGGTCATTTGAGTTCAAAAAAAAAAGTTGAAACAACATAGCTTACATGGGCGATTTCCGGCCGCGTAGAAGTACGTCTTTGTCATTACTGGTGTACTCCGTTGATTGAACTAACGCCAACATGCCCTCTTTTGCTCTATGTGCGCAGTGCCTGCTGTGAGCGAGTCGCTGACGGCCAACCCGCTGGAGTGGACGGGCAACGTGACGGTGCGCAAGAAGCGTAAGCCTTACTCCAAGTTCCAGACGTTGGAACTGGAGAAGGAGTTTCTCTTCAACGCGTACGTGTCCAAGCAGAAGCGCTGGGAACTGGCGCGAAACCTCAACCTTACCGAACGCCAGGTGAAGATCTGGTTCCAGAACCGCCGCATGAAGAGCAAGAAGAACAGCCAGCGTCAGAACTCCGAGAACGCCGCCAACAGCCACCACAACGCCGCGGTCGTGGCGGCAAAGTAGCTGCTGGCCTGAGCAGGCCTCCTCCACCACCACCGCCACCTCATGCATCATTCACAACCACCACCCTCTTTCTGCCGCACACGGATGTCCACAGGGGGCGCGCGTTGCCTACCGCCGGCTACGCGGAGAAAACGGGGATTTACACTGTTGCGACGAAGCCGAAGAACGTTGACTGCCTACCAAAGGGGAACGCACTATTCTGGGAAGCTATAAGCGGACTTAGATCATTTGTAACGAGACCAGGTTCAGTGTGCGCAAAGCCTGCTTAATCGTTGACGGCATTACCTGCCTGTCAGCCACCATTGCTGGAGCTACAGGAACTTCATCGTAGTCCTACAGAAAAAAGATGCGTATGTCTTGATCGAATCATTCCCGGAGTATGGTGCTCCGCACTCTTGATCTTCCCGTGCACAAATCTGTGCATAAGAAACGAACACTTCATCATTGCTTAAGCCTATAGAAACGAAACTATGTTACAGTCGAAGATGATCCCCCTATTGAATTTTATTGGCCGCTAGGCTTTCCAAAGCTGTCCCCATCGTTCTCCGCTACGAACAAACCACCAGAACCGGTCCCCTGCGTGCCACCCATCGGTCCTTCGTGATCTGTGCCCTGGCTAGCGCCATATGGACGCTGTACGAGGTGCCGCCGCGCGAACGGCAGCCTATACGCACAGGCGGCCACGGCAACCCTTCCTCCCACGTGCACCACATATACAGACGCCTTAGTGCGAGCACGAGTGCGCGATCAGCCCCGCTGAGGACGGTCCACCTCGAGTCAGCGGGCGCCCGCGAGCGCAAGCGATGATCTCTCCCTTCTTTGGCGGCCACCGTACCAGGGCTTTTCCTCGACCGTCTGGACCAGCCGCCGGCCGGCGGTTTATTACGGTGACCGTTGCGTCACGGCTAACGCGCAATGTCCTTTTTACGAGACACCCAAGCCAGGGACTGCCGTGGAACTGTGCGGGACACGAGATTCGTGCTATCAAGGGGGGGTAGGTTCGCCTTTGGCGCAGCCGCTCCCTTCCCCTTGCCTCGCCGCAGAGTGGGGTCGCGTCTGTTCGTGTGTGTCCAGTGCGTGTGTTTTCTTGTGTACATAGAAGTGTGCGCACTACGTGTAGCTCCCTTGGAGAGACTTTGCGTCGTCCCACAGTCGGGGCGCTTTCTTTCTTTTATTTCTTTCTCGAGGCGTCCGTCTGCCGTCGCAGAAGACGTGGTCTTCGTCGCCTTCGACGAGTCATCGTCCCACGAACTACCAAGTCTCAGTCACTACCTCCCCGCTCTCAAGGCGCCCTCCTTCTCCGTCGCACCCGAGTGAGCCTCAGCCGCCGTCTCAGTATGTCTCGAGAACTGCGTGAGTTCGCCCTCTTCCTATCGAGTGCTCCGCGCACGCGGTGTTCCTTGTTCATCAGACTTTCATGATGTGACTGTGTGTTCGTGCAGTTGTTTTTTTTTCTCTGTTTTCTGGTATCTCGGCGTCTTGTGGGGAAAAAAAGTAACGAATCGTGCGTTTCTGGTGATGTCGTTCTAGCGAGAACTTAAGCGCAGATGCGCTGAGCTAAGCTCGAGGCCTGAGGCACGAAACTTTTCTGACGGGCGAATTCTTTAGCGCTACAAGGTCAAAGGGTCTGTTTTAATAACATTGTATAATTTTTGGCAGAATTCTCTCTTCATGTCGACATTAATTATGACGACATGAATTAAACAATCAATTTTATTTACAAGAGGTAGTCAATAACTTGAGGTAGGCGCTGTGGTCGCACAACTGAAACCGCCCCCATTTTTGCCTTGTATGATCACTTCTAATTCTTTTCTCTATTGTTTTTATTTCGAAAGCCTGTCCTTAGGCATAGGTAATTCGCGGCATCAAAAACACAAATGCGTGCTTGACAAAGTTGACACTATTCGTAGTGGTAAAAGTAGCGATCGTGCTTGCGTCATGTTGCAAGCTCTGCTGTCTCTTGCTTATGAGAGACATTAGCATAATTTCGGGTGAGGCAGCCATTACGTTATCACTTGTTACTGATTGCAAGATTGCAGTCTAGCTATATCCTAAGGCTGTATGGTCACCGTCAGTCTTGAGGCAAGAAGATGCGATGCATCACGGTGTAAATTTCATTTAGCTGGAAACAACGTTCTAAGGTTTCATAAACTTATATATAAAACCCTTTTCCACACAGAACTGCGACATGATAGAGAGCAGAAATAATAAAAAAAACACGACAAAAAGCAGGTCTTACTGTGTTAGCCCAGGCTTCTGGAGTGCTCAGCGCTTCTTGCATACGCGACGAATCCAGAGTTCAGAAGCAGGTTCGACCCAGTCGCTCGCTTTGGGCGCTGTCAAGGGACTCTAGTCTGAGCACCCCTCCTCATCATCTCTCCATGTGTACAGAACGTGTGCGTGTATGTGTGTGTGTGTGTGTTTCGCGAATTGTAGTTTTAGTATTAATATTATATTATATACAAATATAAGTATAGTATATGTGGTGTAGTCTCCAATGGCCCTTCGCGCAGTCGGGGCTTTAATCTTTCTTCTCCTTCGCGCGTCAGGAGTGTGGCTCGTGAACGCTGGCTATCAACCATAGCCCTTCCCTGTAATCTTACACTCGTGGCAAGCTCCAGGCACTGGCATACCCGTGTAAATCTTCGGTACTAGAAAACATTTGGCCGATTTTACAGTGATTACCTGTACCAGGCTTCTTGACCCACAGGGGTGACTTAGCTGCATGACCTTATATGGCACACTGTTGCAGTTATGTGAGACAGTACAGGGAACGTCGATGCAGTTGTTTTGAAAGAAACACTGTTCCGAACGTTCTGGCGAATAATTGAAGCGCTGCAAGTAACACGCACGCGCTGGAAAAACGATGGAGTGGTGAGGTAATCGTGAATGTGGTTCTCAGAAACAGTTTTCGTTTTTTTTTCGTTTCACTAATTAGATTAATTCATTCATGGATCACCGGATGTGACATCCGCGTGATCGCTACTGCTTTCAAATGGGGGGGATGTTTTTACTCAGTTACCCGAATGCTGTTTAGGACGTATTTTTATGCGGCAAAGAACCGTGTGAGTTGTATACTATACAAGGTATACCATGCAATATCGAAATGCTGGAACACCTGACGCCTATACTCGTGGTGCATTCGGGACGCTCTTGTAGAACGCGGGGTAAATCGCAGCCGCCGCTATACTTCGGCAGTTCGTGGCGGGCGCTCGCTTTGATAATTGATTATTTCCAGCTAAGCTCAATCAAGGCGGGCGCTTTGCGTAAAATTCATCTGTTATTTTATTCATTTTTCTCGTTTGATTGATTGCGGTTGCGTTCCTCAACACCTGTTACGACACGCCGCGAGCGAAGCTCTTCATTGGCTCTACCCGGATTACGTTGGTCGCGGCCCATGTAATGGGTCCACGTAAGAGACGGCAGGAAAAAAAATACAAAGAAGGCTTCGTACAGATTTGTCAGAAACAGCACTCTTGCTCGTTCAGCCAGCATTGAAATGACGGGCAGCATATGAATTGGTCCAAGTATCGTTCTTCTGACCTAAAACGAGCAACCACCCAGATTGACCGTTATTATCGCAATATTGTTCTAATAACGCAACCATTTACACCTAGTGACGCGAACCTAGAAGGCTTATGAGATTGCTTAGCAGTACGGAAAAATCAGCCTGATTTCCTCAAAAATACCGTACACCAGGATTGTCTGGAAGAGAAATTTTTTTGTCAACCTTGACGCCGGACGTATACACGTGAAGTCGTCTGCTGGTCAGTCAGAAACAGTGCGGGATTAACTGAAAGCCTTGTGATTTTGAAGAATACCACGAGAAGGCTACAAAGGACAAGAAAGAAGATCAGACGAAAACCTCGTCATATATGCGTGGCAGCTGAATGATATAGAATACTTATAGAGCTTATAGATCTCCAGGAAGCCGACGGTCTTTTCCACCGTTGCACATGTTTCATTCGCTTCGAGTAGATCCCTCGCGCGAAACATCGCGATATCAGCGGCCGGTCGTTGCGTAAGAACGCGCGAAGAACCGCTGCCTTGCTCCAAGCGAGGCCAGGGTGAAGTAGTCGTCGACTAATGGGAGGAGCCGGCTGCCGCACCACCGGTGCCCGTGCAACGCGTCGAGGACCTCGAAAAAAAAAAAAAAAGGGCAGCTGCTCTCTCTTGCAAGTCGCGAACGCACACAAACAGCATCGTGCCGGCCCTCTCATATCTCTGCGCCAGATTCGAGCGCAGTGCACGATATCACTCCCCCCCGTCTTTCCCCTCACTACTAGCAGCAGCAGCGGTTCTACCAATCGAGCCCTTCGTTCAACCCTGCCTCCTTGCCGCCGACCGTTCCCCGCGGGAGCGAGCAAGGCAGGCGGCAGGGGCCGTTCTGCATGTGGGTCCTCGGCGTGGTGACGGCGGTGGCGTAATGCGATTCCAGTCACGTTCGTTCTCCAGCCGCGCCCGTCGGGCACGATCTCAGCCGTCCTCCTCTCTCTCTCTGCATTCTCGTTATTCGCCGTCACCGTTTGTGTTTTGTTTTTCCCCCACTAGGCACCCTAGGTGTGTGGATCGTTTGCGCAAACTAAGCAACCGTGCGGGTGGCCAGCGTTTAGTCCCCCCGCCTAGAGAGCTTCCACGCGGCGGGTTGTGAATTCTCGGCTTGATTAAGAGTCAAATTCAGTAATGATAATTTTGCGTAAGATTTGCTAACTGCGCCGCGAAAAATGTTAGGGGCTTTTTAGTTTGACGGACGTCTGACTTTCCAGGGAGTGTGGCGTAAGGTGAAGTGAACTTTGTTGCCAACATGTATCAGAACATGTTTAAACAACAAGGATGGTGGGATAAAAGCTGCATGTAGGCAGCTTGACTAGTCCTACTTCCCAGAACAATAACAGCAGCAGCGAACATTAACAAGCATTCTTACTTGTAACAAGGGTAAAATAGAAATACATAAAGCAAAGCGATAAGAGAAGAAGCAAAAAGTATAAAACAAACATCCTCTACAGACACAATCATAAGCAACAAACATTGGGGTTTATAAAATTAGTTGAAGCATTCTCTTTTTTGGAAATATGACGTGTGTTGTCATCACTTAATTTATATTTGTTTAGTACTGAAGGAAGGTGGTAGGAAAGTGTTTGAGGCCACAGTGGTCGGCCGTGTTCCGCGATAAAGGAAAATCGCTGCTTCTGTGGTTCTGTAAAATCGCGTCCTTAATCACACCTGTACAGTGCAGCGATAGCATGAGCGTCTGAAGTCCGCGGTAGACTTGTCTTTATTTGTCGCTGTCACTATCGGATACGAAGGACGAACTTTGCGCATCTTTGTCGCCTCCGACCGCGTTAACTGTGGATGGCGGTAGTTAAATGTAAAGTTTTACAGCCTGTCCGGGAGCCGCTCCTTTCGCGGCGTCGCGAAGGACGCCATTCCGAATCCATGTTGTGGCGCCATCTCCCGAAAGAAACGGGAACCCCTCGTACATTTGCACGTCACAGTGATCGCAGATCCGACCTCAACACACCGGCTTTTCACCCTATGTCAAGCGTAAATTACGGCTATCTGATTATGGGTGCAATTTAATTAATTGCACGGGCAACTCACACGCTTACAATTTTCAATGTTCTCAGTGCTCGCATTACAAAACCGGCGATGGTGCTATCTCGTCAGCTTTTCTGTCGTGCTCTTTCGCTCGAATCTATAGCTAATGCTGCTACGCCGTAGAGACCCTGTGGTTAGGATTGCCAGTTAGTTCGCCCTTGATCGCATACCCTTCTGGTTAGATGAGATTGTATATAGCGACCTGTCAAGAAAAGGCATCTCTGGTT